CTCCCCGTGACCCTGCTCCCCCTGACCCTGCTCCCCGTGACCCTGCTCCCCCTGACCCTGCTGCCCGTGACCCTGCTCCCCCTGACCCTCCTCCCCGTGACCCTGCTCCCCCTGACCCTGCTCCCCGTGACCCTGCTCCCCCTGACCCTCCCCCCTGTGACCCTGCTCCCTCTGACTCTTCTCCTATTTCCTGCTTTTGGCAGACAGAGCTTCTCGGAGATTCTTTTCTTCCTGCTCAGCCTGGGAGTGGGGAGGGGATGGAGAGGCCTGGTCATGGCTCCACTGGCAGCAGCAGACCAGGCTGGTGCCGGCCCCTGCCCCCCAGGCTCTGGTTTCTGAAATCTTTCACTGATTTCAGAGGCTATTTGTTTCTTTTGGTAAAATACACATAACATAAAATTTACCGTCTTAACCCTCTTCAAGTGTATGGTTCAGGGGCATTAAGTCCGTTCTCAGTATTGCACCACCATCGCCACCATCCACCCACAGGACTTTGCTGTCATCCTAAACTGGACCTCTGTCCATTAAACACTAACTCCGCATTCCCCCCGTCCCAGCCTCGGGGTCTCTTACAGAGCCAGGCGACTGGAGGAGATTTGTGGAGGTGAGGACCCGTCCCTCCTCCTCAGAAGCTGTGCTCCTGCCTCCAGGAGCTTCCCTGGTGCCTACTTCATATTAGATGCCCTGTCATGGGTTTTTGAATGCCACCCTTGGTGCATGTATACTTGCTCAGTGGCTGGTGTCCCTGGCAGATGTGAACATGAGTGCCTGGACAGGGACCTGCAGAATAGGTCCTCAGGAGGAAGTTCCTCTGATGGACAGGTGGGTAGGTAGATGAAAGATTGGGTGGATGGATGGGTGCATGGAGGGATGGAGGATGGGTGGGTGGGTAGATGGATCGTTGGATAGACCGATGGCTAGATGGATATCACCCGGCTGGAGAAGCTCTCACCAGGCTGATATGGGGGTGGGGTAACCACCTCTCTGGGGACAGGGCTGGGCTGGCACTGTGGTGGGGAAAGAGGCAGAGCCCAAGAGCCTGAAAAGTGCAGCTCCGGACAACACAAAGGAACTTTAGAAGCCTTTTCCATAAGTGCATTTCCCTCTGCCTCTTGGGCCAGATCAGATTGATTTTTTTTTAAATGAAAATGTATAATTATTGAAAAACTTTAGATTTATATTTGAGCTGATCACTATAGCTAGTGTGTGTAATGGAAGGAAGAGGCATCTTAACTTTGGGGACAGCTCCCCAGGGAGTGGGAGTATGCTGCGGTGTCCAGAACGGAAGGCGGGTGACCCGGAGCTTGCGACCATAGTGCTAACCACGTGGTTCTTCTGGGTTCCCGCATTGCTGGGGTGATACAAGGGGCTTAGGGGGTTGGTGGGAAGGAACTAAAGCCCTGCATCTCAGCCCTGCACTGGGATTGGGTGAACGGATCTGTGATTCAGTTTAACCGTCCTGATGACACTTTGGGCAGGTAGTTTTAACCCCATTGTACAGGTGCAGAAACTGGCCTGAAGAGGGAGCTGACCACGGGGGCTGTGAGATTGGGTGGCCTTGCCGTGTGGCTGCAGCTCTGTCTCCTGACTCAGCAGTCTGTTGAGGGAGCACTGGCTCTTCTTGCCACCTCAACACTTCCTGTGAGATGCCTGAGCTCCCAGTTTGGGCGAGAGACTTGGTCCAGGGGCCTCTGGTGCAGGTGGAGATCGAGGAGGGAGGGGTAGGAGCCAGGCTGTGCTCCCTCTAGAAGACATCCTGGGGTCCTGAATCCTGGCCAGGGTGGAGGACAGAGGTGTAGACAACCCCCTTGGCATCTCTGGTGACCTTAGGCCTGGGAGTGGGGTTGAGTGTTAGCAGGGGGACTGCTGGGGTTTCAGTGGCCTGAATTCTTCAAGGAGTTCCTCCTTGGTCCCGGCCTCTGGGGTGAGACCGCTGAGGGAGTCCAGCTCCAGCCTGTCCCAGCTGCAGGGACCCCAAGAATCAAAACTGTCTAGCACAGGAAGGGAAACCATCATCACCAGCTAGTGACTGGCAGCAAAGGGTGCCACCTCTGCAGCAGCACTGCCCTCAGCATGGTTCAGATGCCCTTGTCTCTGGAAGACCCTGGGAAGGTCACTGTGATCAGGGTAGCCAGAGGCTATGGAGCAGGCAGGGCCAGGGTCACACCGCCAGGGCAACCCCCATGCTTGGAAGGTGTGGGTGGGGTACAAAAGCCTCTCCCCAGAGGCCTGTTATTCTGGTTCATTCTGTTCTGGAGGCGATGACCTGGCCCTGGCTTATTTCTAGCACACCACACCTGGACCTGTCACCTCCCCCAGTGAGGAGAGGAGTCGGGTCCCTCTGCTCAGTCACAGACATCTGGGCCATGGGGCTGGGCTGTCAGGAGGGCACAGATTTGTGGTGGGTACTGGTGCCTGCTAAGTTCTGTGCTGTCCTCCTGGGCCTGGGTGGGCAGGGCTGGGGTCAGTCTGGGCCTGCTCACTCTCGGCGCCAGTTGAGGAGCAGAGCAGGCAGAAGTGGCTCCAGCCCTGGAGGCCTCACCCGTGGTGCCCATATTCTGCTGGTCCCCTTGGGCAGTGTGCAGTGCCTCTTGGGCACCCCAGGAGAGGCTGAGTGGGTCCAGGATTCCTGTGGGTGAGACTTGCTTCGAACATGTAGCATCTCCCCGTTATCTCCTGGTCACCCTCAATTCCTGGGGCATGAGGGAGGTCCCCGGCCACCCTGCTGCACTTTTTCAAGATAGCGTCAAACAGGGTGAGACTCAGGAAATTGCCCAAAGGGTGGAAAGACATGTTGTTGGAATAATAAGAGGAAAGGCAGGAACAAGCTAATGACACAGAGACAGAGGCAGGAGCCAGGCCAGACGCTCCGTGCTGGGCAATTGACGTGTGTGACGTGAAGGCAAAGTCACAGAGGCTGATCCAGCTGCTGGGGCGAGTCCCCAAGGCCATGCACAAGTGAAGGCTCGGAGAGCTGGACCCCAAAAGTCAATTGTGCTGTATGTTAATTAAACATATAAAATTTTAAAAAGGAGAAAAAAAAAAGGGAGATCAGTCACCACCTCAGTGTCTGCCCACAGGAAGATGTAAATGGCTTTGTGGTGTGTGCCTGAGACACACAGACCTGACAAGAGCCCCACGTTTCTGTAGGAAACAACCCCGCAAATGTGATGTTGGTGAGCAGGTTATTAGAAGGACTGAGTGACAGGGTAAGCACTGAGGGATGGAAAGTGTCACGCGTTGTCTGGGGACACAGTGTGACAGTGGACGTGCACTGAGTCACAGGTGGCATGATGCACGTAGTCTGGACACAGTGTGATAGCATGTGAGTACCGAGTGACAGGTGACATACCAGGTGTTGAACCGGGCGGCTGGCGTATGCAGGGCGGTGAGCAGCCTCACAGGAATGACAAGCATGGCATGGTGGGCACAGTGTTCCTGGGCCGTGTTCTGGGGGGCAGTGTTCTGGGGGGCTGTGTGCAGGGGATGATGCTTAGGAGACTTTGTCCTGGGGACTGGGGGGGGGGCCCCAGGGCTGGCCGTCCCCTGCGTGCACCCATGCTAACCATGCGTCTCCCCCTGCAGCCTGCCTGCTCCGCTCCAATGCTCTCTCGCTGGTCTACCTGCTGTTCCTGCTGCTACTGCCCTGGTTCCCGGGCCCCTCCCGGCACAGCATCCGAGGTAAGGGCCAGGCAGAGGCTCCCGCCTGGAGGAGGGGGGCTCAGGGCTCAGAAATCTTTGTTCATGTGCACAGGCTCCATGGGGGAGGGATGTGTTGGGTACACCTCAGAAACCCTGGGTAGCAAAGAACTTTCTCTGTGGTTTAACAGTTGTGGGTAAAGGCTGAATGGTCCCAGGTCTCATTTTCATCATAGATCCCTGCTAAGTTTAGAATCTCTGTCCTGACCGTGTATTATAGGGGCATGCTGAAGGTAATGGGGGGGGTGTCACTGGTTGGATTCTCCCGACCCTGAGGCTCAGGCCCAGGGCTGTGGGCTGGCCAGTCTTCCCACTGGCTCTTCCCATCCCCTACCCTGTCCCAGCACTGCCCAGCAAGGCTCCAACCAACCCTTAAGTCCAGCCACCACATTGACTCTCCCTGCCCCCAATCATAGCGTCAAACTCCCTCCGTGTTCACCCAGCATTCTGTAAGGCCTCGGCTTACCTCTGGATCTCCTTGTAGTTTGGGTAGCCTGGCACTCCTGATGGGTAGCTCTAGGTCCTGAGCTCCTGGAGGGTGGGCCCTGTCTCGGTCTTCTGTGTCCACCGCACAGACAGATGTGGGAAGACCCATCAGGGAGCTATGCTCGCTGGAGGGGTTGGACAGTGGCGCCCACGGCATGGACCCATCTGAGAGGGGCTGGGAGCAGACAGGCTGTTGCCCCATCTCAGGATCCCCTGTCAGAGGGGGATGGGTGAGTGCGAGCACCTCCTGCTTGTCCCTCGCCTCCTCCATCATCCATGCCAGCAATGGCTACTCAGGTGTCACCCCATCACTCTGACACTGACCTCCTGCCCCTCTCCCAGTGTTAGGACCCTGTGATTACCCTGGGACTGCCCAGGGACCAAGGATCAGCCTGTTTTAAGGTCAGTTGATTGGCAGTCTGATTCCCCATCACCATGTAAGGAAACTTATTCATGGGGTCCAGGCACTGGTACCAATGAGGATGTCCCATGAGGAAGCATTCTGCCTCCCAGAGGGGGACAGGTCACCCCCTCCCTGGCCTGTCACACTGGCTCTCTCCACCCCATCAGGCTGCCTCCTTGCTTGGGAGTTTGCAGAGGACACTGGTCTTGGAGTACAGGGTTAGTTCAGGTGCAGAAAGGGGAGGGGCACCAGCACAGGCACAGTGCTGGTAGCTGCTGGGGATGAAGCCAGACCCCTCCCAGGCTGACTCAGCTGCCTGCCCGAGACTCCCTGCTCAGGCCAGCTGCCCCCCTTCTTCCCCCTCCCAAAGGGAGGGTCTGCTGGGCAGAGTCTGCCACCCATACCATGCTCTTCTCTCTGTGGAGCCAGTTGTTTGTTCCCAGGCCCTCGGCTAAAAGCTGCTTGTCCCGTAAATATTTCAGTAAATATTTCATGCCCTTATGTGATTGGAAACACTTTCCTCTACTCTGCAGCGGAGGGGGCACAGGCTCCCACCAGGGCCAAGGCAAGAGCAATCCAGACTGGGGAGGGTTAGGACGCAGAGGGAGAAGCACTGGGAAGACTTCCCTCCTGGCCTCTGTCTGTCCATCTACTGGCTTTAGAGGCCCTTCAGGGACAGGGAAACTGAGTTTTTCTGGGCCGGAAAGATGAAAGTGGGAGGCCTCTCTGTGCCTGAGCGCCTGGCCATGGGTTCATGAGTTGTACAGCACTGGGCCTTGGTGCTCGCACCTGGATGAAGGTCTGATGCTGCCCAGGGCCCCTTGCATGGCAAGTGAGAGACACTAAGGTCCCCAGGGGAGAGGGCAGGCGGCACCTCCCAGCAGCTGTAATGGATGAGCCAGTGCCCTCCTCCCCACTCCCCCCAGCTCCCTTCTCCTCTGCCCGCTAATGGCAGCCGTTCCTCCAGTACTCAGGGCTGAACCTCGGAGTCCCCAGGGACCTGTTTCAACATCTCTAATGGGCCCCGGCTGCACCCCCTTTTCCTTCTTGAGCAAATGCAGGAATCCTCACCTGCCTGATCCCTGCTTACCCAGAGCCAGAGCTGCCCTCTGGGCTGGCTCATCCCCGCTGCCCACCATCCGCATGTGAATTCCCAGGCCTAGGGGACTGGCCATTCCCAGCTCAGTTGGGCTTGGGCAGGCAGGAGAGCATCCCAGCTTTGATAAGCAGGGTGTTGAGTGCCAGGCAGGGCCTCACTGGATGGGCCAAGCCAGCACCCCCGTTCCTGGAGGAGAGACCAGCATTTAGTGGTGGAGGAGCTGACCAAGTGGCGGGAACAGGGCCTCAGCAGGGCCCAGAGGTGGAGGAATTCGAGATGCCACCAGACTCCTAAGGGGGCATCAGGAGTTTAGGGCTAAGGCAGGGAGCTGTTAGAGATGGCGTTTGGGGGTGCTGGTGAGCAGATGGGGGTCTACGCCAACCCCCAAGAAGAGGGCCAGGCTGGAGCACCTGTCTCAGCCTCTGCCTATCCCCACAGATCAGCAGGGCCTCACTCCAGGCACACATTTCCAGGCCAAGAGATGCCTCTCACCCTCCCAGCCTCTTCCAGCTGGAGAAGGAGCTGAAGCTGCAGAACCAGGGCTCCCGCCTGTTGGCTGGGTGCGGGCCGAGGGTCCAGGACAGTGCGGCCAACTGAGAAATGGACTGGGAAGGGGAGGGCAAGACAGTGGGAAGTGCTGGCATCTGATATGCCTGCCAGACGGATGTCCAGGGGTGCTGGATAGGAAGGCTCTCAGGAGTGAGCCAGGTAGGTGGTTGTGTCACTCTGCTGCTGAGGGGCCTGGTGCTTCCCTCCCTGCCCTTCAGGCCTTGGGGTGTACAAGGAGCCCCTCAGTTTTGATTGCACCACCAAGGTCAGCCTCAGGTCTTCATGGCTTAGGAGCAGGGTGAGTCCATGGAGTGGGACAGGGGTGGCTCTGGGAGGTGCCCTCCCACCATGTCACCCACTGGGACTTCTAGATCTGCAGGAGAGGAGCCATGCAGGTGAGCCAGGCAGACGGGAGACTGAGCAGTAGTGGGGGCAGGGGGAGCTCTACCTTCTCACCCTATGGCTCCTGTGGGTTCCTGGTAGGGAGGGACCCTGTACAACATCCTTTGGCAGCCCAGCTCCGTCCTCCTGTGGGGAGGCCTGTGGCCTCTCCCTCCTCTTGGCCTGGGGCTCTGAGCAGAGGGGCCCAGCCAGGGCCCAGGGCCAGGCTCTCCTATTCATTTTCCATTTCTCCTTCCTGCCAGTGGGCTATTTCTTCCACCAGCTCCACCCTGCTCTCTTCTTGCTCACCCCTGCCTGCTACACAGGTCAGAATGTCAGGGCTGGGAGGGACCTAGAAATGAGTGAGGCGAAGAAGCTGTCTAGATCCTGTCTGGGGCCTCTCTGGGTTGCCCAAAGTAGTCCCATGCCCTCTCTGAGCCCAGCTTCCTGTGCTAAAATCAGGCAAGACAGCGGGTGAATGCTGAAGGATTCTGCCGTCACCCTGCCCTCACAAGGCACTCCAGAAGTGCCACCTGCTGGGCCGGCCCTGGGGGAGAGGATATGGGCCAATTCTGAGTCTATTCAACAAATAGCGATTGTGCTGAAAGATAGTGAACAAAACGGACATGGGCCCTAAGCTTGCCAGCCTCTGGGCAGGAGAAAAAGAGCTGATTTGATGGTGACCCTGACTGTCCCCATGCTTCAGGAAGTCAAAGGAGGGGCAGCTGCTCTGCAAGTTGTCATTAACAAATCAGCTTGCCAGCAGGGGTGAGGACCTGGGGGCTCCTGCCAAAAGGCCAGGGGCTAGAGGAGAAAGCTGCCCACAGCTGGTGTCCTGAGACCCGGATTCAGAGCTCAGAGTGCAACAGTAAGAGCCGACTGGAGGTCTCTGGTCCTGGCCTCTGCACAAAGTGGGACCTGCCCACCCACTCACAGGGCAGAGGCGACTCCAGGGCTTCCTGAGTCCCCACACAGGCCACTGCAGCCAAGGCCTCCCCGCCTGGTGGCTGAACCCTGCTTCCCAGGGAGCAGGGTTCAGCCCAGGTGTGAGGGGCAGAGGGCGCTGTTGAGGGATGCTCCTACCTGCGCTCACCGGCTCTTGGGCCAGGCTCTGCCTTGGCTTCTCCCCCCACAAGGTGGGGCCCCCAGATGATGCAATAAGGCCTGTGAGGCCCTCGGCCCTACCTGGCACACCACCAGCCATCACTCCTTTCTGCAATGACTTGTTCCATGCACTCATTAGAAGCGTTTAGCTCCATGACACCCCCAGGAAGGCGAGGCTCTCCTCGCTTTTCTTGAAAAGCCAGGATCCCAGCCTTGTTCCCCTCCCCCATCAACCCTGCTGTACGTTTTCAGTCCACACTAGGGGGTGAAACAGCTCTCTGCAGCCCGGGCAGAGCAGAGAGACTCAGGTGTTTGCAGGACATATGAACAACTGAAGGTGTCTCCCGAGGTGTGGGGGCCTTTCCTTTCTGTGCTGGCTCCTGCCCCCACCTATCCGACGCCCCCAGGCAGCAGGCAGGCTGGTATACTGTGCTCCATCTAGTCCCTGCTGTGTGGCTATGGGCAAGTCACCTCACCTCTCTTGTGTCTATAAATTGGGACTCGTGATAGTGCCCGACCATGGGGCCACTGTGAGCCGTCAGTGGAATGGTACAGGGCACTGCATACGATCAGCTGCCGACCGCCCCGAGACCCATGTACGTGCTTGTCTGTTCAGGGCTGGTGGGTGGGGCCTGGCTCGGGGCTGACAGCCAGGGCTTCCTGCTGGCCTCACCCCTCCCGCTCTGCCCACAGGTCACGCTGGCCGCCTCCTCCGAGCCCTGTTGGTCTTCAGCCTCCTCTTCCTGGCAGCCCACCTTGCTTTCCAGATATGCCTACACACTGTGCCTGGTCTGGACCAGCTTCTGGGGTCAAACTGTGAGTTACTGAGGGGTGGGGAAGGGGTTCCTAGGGGCAGCAGGCCTGGGGGAGAGCTAGTGGCCAACTGGAGGGTGGAGGGGAGAGAGCGCCACTCCGGCCCTGCAGGAACCTCAGGCCTCTTTGGGGAGGTTGGCTGTCCTGTCTTACCTAGGCTTTGCTTAATAAGAGCCATCCAAGTGCCTGCCTGTGATTTATGTCCAGCTGAGACAGCCGGAGTAAAGTGCCCCAGTAATGGCTGACGGTGGGGCTGAGCTGAGCAGCAGTGCGGTGCTAATCCCAGGACTGGAATCTGGCTCTTGGGGCAGCCTTGGTCTTCTCAGGCCCCTCTCCCTCTGTCAGCATCTTCTTCCCTTGCCTGCTGGGGCTTAGAGACTCAGCCCTACTGCCCTGCGCCCTTTCACCCATGGCCAGTATTGCCAGCTGGCACCCAACCCTCCAACTCCATTGACATCTACACCCCAGTCTTCGGGTGAGGGAGCCCTAGGCTCCCAATCCTTCCGCCTGGCTAGGGCCTCCCTCCTCCAGGTCCTCCGGGCTCCTGCCTGTCACCACACTCAGCCACGTGGTGGGCAGGGTGCTGCACCTGACTTCCCATTTCATTCTGTGATGATTGTGCCCCTCCTGCAGTTTAGGAACTGGAGGGAAGTCAGGTGCCTTGTGAGTAGACTGGTCCTGGCGGCTCTGAGACCAGCCTTCCCATCCAGCCCCCAAGGAGCAGCCAGCTTCTGCTGACGGGTCTGAGAACCTGGCCCAGCCTCCTAGCCACTTAGGCCCTTCGATCCACCTGGATTTCCTGGCTGGGCTTCAGATTCCCTATCAGTAAAGACAATGTTTTTGAGCATCCCTGATACTAGCCACTGGTGTCCTGGAGACCAGGCATTCTGTGGCTGGGGCTCCAAGGGCCTCCTGGGAGGGGGTTGTTCAGAGCCTGCCCGCCTGACCGGGTTCCCCTGTGCCTTTCTCTGCAGGCAGCCACTGGGAGAACCTCTCCCAACTTGTGGGGGTCACGAGGTAAGACCCACCCCCGGCCTCCCTCCAGGATTTCTCAAGCCCAAGGGGAGGGTCCACGCCCTCCCTGCTGACATCTGCCCTCCTGGGTTGACCAGTGGGCTCTCCTGCCCTTCACAGGCTGGACGTGAAGGACATCCCCAATGCCGTGCGGCTGGTGGCCCCCGACTTGGGCATCCTGGTGGTCTCTGCTGTGTGCCTTGGCCTCTGTGGGCGCCTCACACGGGAAGCCCGGCGGAGCCAGCGCCCCCAGGAACTGGTGAGCTGTGGTGGGCTGGGTGCATCTCTGGGGGAAGGGGCATTCTAGAGCTGGGACCCAGACAGTTGAGGACCTCTTTTTTTTCCCCTAACAAATGTGGACTTTTATTTGTAAGAGTCAATATACCCTAATTATGAAATGTTAGGCTACCAGAGGGGAGAGAAGATGCTTATTTCATGAGAGGGGGAGCACTAGCAATGTGGCATGGTCCTGGCAGGGCTTACTCTTGGGGGACACCTGTGGGGAACCCAGACAGTGTCTATGCCCTTAGAGACCATCCTGGAGGAGTCTTTGTGGCCACAGGGCAGTAGGGAGTCAGCAGTGCTGGCGGATGGTCTGTTCCAACTGTCAGGGAGACCTAGGGACTGACAAGACAGATGGACTGATGAACACAGGGATGGATGTTTGAGAAGCTATGCCCACAGTGGCATCAGCGGTCTTGTGAGCAAGGTGGAGGCTGTGTAAGCTCAGGCCAGCAAGGCCCTAAATCAGATACTCTGTCCTTGGAGGGCTCTGCCCTGGGTTAGGGGGTCTTCCCTTGCACAGGGTGTGAGCTTGGGGTCCTTGATGTCCTCCTCACCTCAGTTGAAGGCTCAGTGCTCTTCTGTCCCACACGAGGGCTGCGGTTGCCAGCCCCCCTGGGCCTTCTATCCAGAAGGCGTGGTCTCTGGGGCTGGGCGGGATCTGTGACTATGCAGGGGTCCCAGCCCAAGAACCTCCTGGGGGCCACAGGCTTCTCCCATCCCCCAGCCCCAGCATCCCTTTGTCCAATAGCTAAGGCTTACGGGGCATGAGGGCCTTTACCTACAGAAGCACCCAGCGAGGGGAGGGGACTTCCCACAGCAGGTCGGGGGAGCCAGCCTGCAGCTGACCCGGCCTATTATCCCACCCATTGCTGCCCCATCCCACAGGATGAGGCTGACACCAATGTTTTAGAGGGGGAAATAGGGACCTGGAGGTTGAGTGGCTCTTTCAGACCTTTGTGGGGAATTAAGTCAGCCAGGGCAGGGACTGCCTTTCTGCCTGTGCTTGGGGCCCCCTCCCAACTGGGTTAGCCCCTTCCCTCCCCACAGGGGCACATGGGCACCAGCGCCTGGGCACATGGGCCAGGGCTGCCTCTGGTTTCCTCATTAGTGGAGCCAGGGCTTCTTGGAATAGCTTTGCCAGGAAGGGGCTGGATTATTCCAGAAATCTGTGGGTGGGCAGGAGGGGTCAGCCCCTCATTCCATGATGCCCTATCGGGGCTGGACTCTGGTCTGCTGGGCAACCGGGACAGGTCACCTTCACCCAAGTGTCCTCAGCGGATAGAGCTTGTGCCATCCTGCCAAACCAGGGGCTGTGAGTGTAGACAGACCTCAAAGCAAGGCTGTGGGGGCACCCTTCACAGGCACCCAGTTTTAAAGCCCAGAGCTAAGGGCAGCCCATGCATGTACATGGTGCACACAGTCATGTACATGGATATATCCTGATTGTCACACCCACATATGTGCATGCTCTGATGGGTGAGATGTGCTGTGGTGGGAGGTGAGGAGACAGTGGACATTTCTGCCCGGCTCCCCGGGATGGCCGTGGAAGCCAAGTCGGGGCTGGAGCCAGGCCTGGCCAGGTTGGACACCACAGGCGGCCCCCAAGCACCTGTCTTTCTCCCAGCAGCTGTCTCTGTTTTTCCACTCCCAGATATGCTCATTTTTCACAGACCTTTTCAGAAGCTTTCCCAGGGCCTGGGCCAGGCTGTGGGCGGGGGTGAGCTCAGGCCTGGCTGCCCCACCTTCCAGCAGCCATCTTCCCTTTCCAGGCTATCTGGGGCCTCCCACCCTATGCATCCTGGGGTCTAGAGGAACCCTGCTTATGAGTTATGACCTCAGGGCCCAGGTCTTGCTCTGATACCCAGGGTCCTAGGATAGCCTATAGCCTGTCCTCCTGGCACAACCCACCACACCTCCCTGGACCTTCCCAATACCCCCAGGATAGGACCTATCTGGTTCATCTCTCCTGTCTGGTCCCCACTCGCATTTGATAGATGGGAAACAGAGAGGTTAAGTGACTTGCCCAAGGCAGCACATATGGGAGACCAGAGCTGGGATGTGACTAGGTTGTGACCAGGTCGCCTGGCTCCAGAACCTGTACTCTTAGCCCAGATGCCTAGTGCTGCCTCAGTGGCCGGGAAAGGCACAGGCAGAGCCCATTTAGCAGGTGGGAACCTGGGGCAGGGCGTGGGCATCTGACACTGAGCCTGTGTTCTTTCTGCCTCACCCTGCCTTTCCCTGATGTCCAGGAAACAGCTCCGTTCCAGGAAACCTTGAGCTAGGGCCAGGGAAGCAGGCCCTGTTGGATCTCTGTCCCCACCATGGGCAGGGGAGGCCTGAAAAGGTCATCTTGTGTCATCCTGGGCAGTTGGCTACCTCCATCTGTCCAGAGGGTTGACCCCAGAGGAGCTGTCGGGGGCACCAGGAGACCCCAACACCTGCCACTCCCCTGGGGACCCACCCCTCACTCTCCAAAGGCCTCATGAGCAGTGGAGAGGGAGCAGGGTGCAAACAGCCGTGTAATTTTGGGGTCCCCTCTGAGCCTCCGCTTCTTTACTTACAAGGAAAATGCTGGCTCAGCCTGTGGAGCCAAGTGGAACCATATAAAGGTGTCTGTAATTGTAAAGTGAAGTGTACACATGTGTGTGCATTGCTTTCCTTTTTCTTTTCTTTTCTTTTTTTATATCTTTATTGATTTCAGAGAGAGGGCAGCAGAGGGAGAGAGATAGAAACACCAATGATGAGAGAGTCATTGGGGATGGAGCCCGCAACCCGGGCATGTGCCCCGACCGGGAATCGAACCTCGATCTCCTGGATCCTAGGTCAACGCTCAACCGCTGAGCCACGCCCGGCCGGGCCGCTTTCCTATTTTCTTAAAAGCCCCACTTGGGCCCTCTGAGGAGCCAAAGTGAGCAGGGCCGGGGGCTTTGATGATTCATGCAGGAATCTGTGGGGACTTAGATGGGGAGATAAAGAAAAGGCCCTGGAGGGTTCTAGAATAGTCCATGGTCAGCCCGCATGGGTCGGTCATCGTGTGTGCCAGGGGTTGGCAGGAGTGTGTTTGGAAGCTGGGCAGGCTGCCTCCAGGAAGGCCTGCAGGGCTGTGCACTTGTGAGGCAGCAGGAAGGCAATGAGTAGACCTTGGGCGAGAAGGGCAGCACAGGTCCATGCTTGGGCTGGCAGCCCCCCTTCCTCGCAGGTGGCTTGAGTGCCATGCCCCTGATCTCCATACCTCTCTGTGACCTTGGCAGGATGATGATGACAGGGAAGTGGATACCAGCTCCCTGGTGGGGCTGCAGGGAGCCCCTGCGCTGGCCCACAAGCGGAGGTCGAAGCTGGCTGCTCGGTTCTGGATCACAGCTCACTGGTTGCTAGTGGCTGCTGGGCGGACCCTGGCCATAGTGCTGCTCGCGCTGGCAGGTACCTACTGGGCAGGGAGTGGGGGTCCCAGCACTGAATGTCACACCAGGAGGGGTTTTCACACCTGCTGAGCTCCCTGCTGACCAATGAGACAGAGGTCACAGCCCTGGCCAGGCATGACCCTGCATGCCTTTGTCTGGTTCTGCAGGCATCGCCCACCCCTCAGCCTTCTCCAGCATCTACTTCCTGTTCTTCTTGGGCATCTGCACCTGGTGGGCCTGCCACTTTCCCATCAGCCCCCTGGGCTTCAGCACACTCTGCGTCATGGTGGGCTGCTTTGGCGCCGGCCATCTCATCTGCCTCTACTGCTACCAGATGCCCTTCGCCCAGGACATACTCCCACCTGCTGGCATCTGGGCCAGGTGAGGGCTCATCTGAACAGGCCCTGCTCTGTCCCCTCACCCTGGCCCTGCCCAGCTGGCCCCTCCTCCAGCCAGAGGTCAGTGCCATACCTTTTCTCGTCAGGGTTTTCGGTCTAAAGGACTTTGTGACCCGCACAAACTGCTCCAGTTCCAATGCGCTGGTGCTCAACACCAGCCACGACTGGCCTGTGTACGTGAGTCCCGGCATCCTGCTGCTCCTGTACTACACTGTGATCTCACTCCTGAAGCTGCGCACACACCACCCCCCAGAACAGGTGGGGCCGGGGCTCCCCCTCTGTCTTCACACCTTTGGACACTCCCTTGTCCTGCAGGCCGTGGCTCTTTGGGCAGGGTGGGGAACTGAGCTTTGCTGTGGTCTCTGCAGACAAAGGTGGCAGCTGGGGGTGTCAAGGAGCGGGAGGTGGAACTGACCGAGGTGGACCAGTGGCCCCAGGGCCAGGCCAAGACTGCAGCCACCAAGGAGGAGGGCGCTGCTCAGGTGAGGAGACTGGGCTGAGTGATGGGGCTAAGCCCACCTGCCCATGGGCTTGGCTCACTGGGCCTTGGCTTGCCTCTTCAGCATATGACACCCACGCCCGTGGGGCCTGACCCTGAGACTGACAACTGCATCGTGCACGACCTGAGTAGCCACTGCCCCGTGCAGCAGCGCTCCTGTGAGTACGCTCTACCAGAGGGGACACCTCCTTCCATGGGTGCGCTGGTGCTGCCCCCTGGTGGCCATTGGATTGTCTCGCATGTTGGCCTCACTGGCTGTGCTGGTCCCCGGCCATGCTGCTGACCCTCCGGGGTGGAAGGGACCCCAGGTCTCTCATCCTCTCCCCCCTAGTTTCTGGAGGACTTGACTGCTCTGTCTTGGGTTGGCCCAGAGGCCCAGGGTGGCTCTCTGTCATCTGGACAGATACCAGCTGGGTAGGACTGGGCAGTTTTCTGGGTGCTCTTTTTCTCTGACCTAAGCCTTGATTTCCATTTTGTGACTTAGCCCTGCACAAAGCAGGTGCTGAATCGCTGGCCTCAGGAGCTGGCACCCTGGGGACTTGCATATGCACAGAGCTGGAAGGGGGTCAGGGCTTTGGAAGTGGTATCCTGGAGAGGGGCTGCCCAGAGTCACATGACAGTTGGGGGCAGTGTCAGATAGGAGCCTGCCTTTTCTGCCCCTGGGCATACAAAGTGCCACCTGACCAGCAGCTCCCTCCTCCCACTGGGCTGCTGCGCACCCCCAGCCACATTATAGGGCAAAGTCAAGTGTGGGCGAGGGGCTCTGGCCTGTTGGTGTCGGAGCTTCCCAGGTAACCCTTGCCACCACCTTGTAGTGTACACCAGGCTGGCTGAGCCAAGAGAGACCTCTCCGCTGCATGGCCTGGGACACCTCATCATGGCCCAGAGCTACGTGTGCGCCCTCATCGCCATGATGGTAAGGAGCGCCCCCCCCCCCCTTCCCCGGGTAGGCCCTCCCGTGGGTTCTGAGAGGGATGGTGGCCCATGTTTCATAGCCTGATGCTTCCTCACCAGAAATGAATGGGGCTGTGTCCTGCTGGGCCAAGAGCCACGAGCCACCCTGGCCAGCCCATAGCTGCGTCTGTGAGCATGTGTGTGAGCATGTGTGTGTATGGGTGTGTATGAACGTGAGTGTGTGAGCACATGTAGGTGTGAAGGTGTGTGAGTACATATAGGAGCATTTATGTATGTGTGAACATGTGTGGGCATGTGTATGAATTTGTGAACGTATGTATGATTATATTTGTATGTGTGCATTTCTGTGAATGTGTATGTGATCATGTGTGCATGTGTGTGATGTGGGGATAGCATGTTTCCTGTGGCGCTGTGTTCCAGGCCAGTGGGGCACGTTTGCCTTTCTGCCTGAGCAGCTCCCTGGGGGTCCTGCCCCTCAGCACCCTGGGGAGCAGGCTGGGACTGGGCCAGGTGCTCTGTGCAGCCGTGCCCACCAGCCCCTGCCACCAGGTGTGGAGTATCACCTACCACAGCTGGCTGACCTTCGTGCTGCTGCTCTGGGCCTGCCTCATCTGGACTGTGCGCAGCCGCCACCAGCTGGCCATGCTCTGCTCGCCCTTCATCCTGCTCTACGGGCTGGCGCTGTGCATCCTGCGCTATGTGTGGGCCATGGACCTGCATTCTGAGCTGCCCACCACCCTGGGTCCTGTCAGCCTGCGCCAGCTGGGGCTGGAGCACACTCGCTACCCTTGCCTGGACCTTGGTGCCATGGTAAGTGTCCCTTACTCCAGGGCACCTGTGAGCATGTACTGGTGCCTTGGGTTTCTGCATGAGGTACCATTCTGTTTATGGGCCAGCTCCCAGGGGAGTGGGAGCTCCAGGAGGCCAGGCCCTTGTCTAGTGGTCACCAAAGGGTCTCTATTGGCCAGCCCAGAGTAGTTGCTTGAGTGCATGAGTGATGACCTTGTGTTTTAGGGGGCACTGTCCCCGTCTTCCTAACATAGGTCCTGTTAGTGTCACACATTGTGTGAGATGTGTGAGCCCGTGTGCAAGCATGTGTATGCAGAATTGTGTACAAACATGAACCCCTGTATACATATGTATGAACATGTGCAGACATGTGAGCCTAGTGTGCACATGTGTGCACTTGTGTGTGACTTGTGTGCAGGCGTGTATGTGACAGGATTAGTTTGTTCCTGCAGAGGCCCGGCTGGCTGCCTCCCTGCTAAGGGTCTCTCCTATGCCCACATCTTCTTGATCTGGGCCCTGGCTTTGGGAGGGGTGCTGGGGTACCAGGCTGCCACCCCTCAGTGACACTGCCCCACCCCACCCCAGTTGCTGTATACCCTGACCTTCTGGCTCCTGCTGCGCCAGTTTGTCAAGGAGAAGCTGCTGAGGAGGGAGAAAACAGCCTCCACGCTGATGGAGGTCACTGTGGCGGACACAGGTGAGTGGGTGGGGCAGTTGGGCCAGCCCCCTCCCGCCTGGTCCTGGACTCACACCCGTCCCCCGCCTTGGCCCCCAGACCCCATGCGGACTCGGACGCTGCTCCGGAGTCTGGGGGAGCTGTTCACTGGCCTCTATGCCAAGTACTGGATCTACGTGTGCGCCGGCATGTTCATCGTGGTCAGCTTTGCAGGCCGGCTTGTCGTCTACAAGATCGTCTACATGTTCCTCTTCCTGCTCTGCCTCACCCTCTTCCAGGTACCTGGGGTGGTGGGGTGGTGGGGTGGGGCCCTCCAGCAGCCCGTCTCCCTGCGGGGGCTCACACGCCCTGACCTCGTCCTGCAGGTCTACTACAGCCTGTGGAGGAAGCTGCTCAAGGTGTTCTGGTGGCTGGTGGTGGCCTACACCATGCTGGTGCTCATCGCTGTCTACACCTTCCAGTTCCAGGACTTCCCCATGTACTGGCGCAACCTCACAGGCTTCACTGACGAGCAGTGAGTCACCGGCGGGTGGGCAGGCGGGCGAGGTCCGGGCGTGGACCCCTCAGCCCCGCACCGGGGACCCAAGGGGCCGGGCGGTGCTGACGGCGCCCCCTCCGCAGGCTGGGGGACCTGGGCCTGGAGCAGTTCAGCGTGTCCGAGCTCTTCTCCAGCATCCTCATTCCCGGCTTCTTCCTGCTCGCCTGCATCCTGCAGCTGCACTACTTCCACAGGCCCTTCATGCAGCTCACCGACCTGGAGCACATCCCCCTGCCTGGCTCCTGCCGCCCGCGCTGGGCTCACAGGTGCGCCGCGCCTGCCCCTGCCCCGCCCCTGCCTCCGAGGACGCAGGCGCTGGCCTTGGCCGGTGGAGGGGTGTGGGTGGGGGCAGGGGCAGGGGGTTTGCAGAGTGTCTCCACCTTGAACCAGCACAGAGAAGGGCCTTGTCTGGGAGAGGAAAGGAGGCTGGTGGGATTCGCATGGGAGGGCCCAGGGCAGGGGAATGGCCTCAGCCATCACCTTCACATGCTGAGGGGTCTCAGGTAGGGGGTGTTTTCTCTGACCCAGGGGGGTCTCCGTGATGGACTGTCAGCTGGGCTGCATGCTCTGACCTAGCAGCCGCAGCACAAATAACACAGGTCACCCAGCAGGGGGAGGAGGGGGTGCAGGCAGGGTCTTCTGTTAGCCCCGGGAGGGCAGGAGCACTGGTAGGAAGTGACACTTTCGGGCCCTGTCCTAGGCAGGACGCAGTGAGCAGAACCCCATTGTTGCAGCAGCAGGAGGAAGAGGAAGCCCCCAGAGACCAGGGGTTGGGCACTGCTGGCCCCCACCAGGCCACGCAGGTCCCAGAAGGTAAGTCAGAAGGGTGGGGTACAGCCCCTGAGAGGTGAGTATAAGGTGCCAAGGAGCCTGGCCTCCGGGTCCCCTGTGAGCCCCAGAGCCTCGTCTACACAGGACAGAACAGCCCCAGGCCCAGGGCACCTGTTCCCTTCTCACCACCTGCCTCCCCACCCCCCCACAGTCACAGCCAACAAATGGGGCCTGGTGGCCGAGCGACTGCTAGACTTGTCCGCCAGCTTCTCCGACATCCTCACGCGCGTGCAGGTGTTTGTGCGGCGCCTGCTGGAGCTCCACGTCTTCAAGCTGGTGGCCCTATACACTGTCTGGGTGGCCCTGAAGGAGGTGAGAGTCGGACACATACCTTCCTTGTCTGCAGCAGGTCACCCGGGGCACTGTGTTGCCCTCCCTGGATCTCGGGCCCACAGAAGAGG